GCGTGGAAGGACCCAAATCATGTCCCCGTGCGGGGTCTGGGCAGGTCCTGATGGACAGGAAGGCGCTGCTCGCCCTCTCCCATCTCCCACCAGCTGCTGGGAAAGGCCCCTGTCCCCTTCAGGCAAGGCTTGGGGACACTGTGCTCTGGCCCCAGCCCAGCCCTGAGGACATCACACCCCACAGGGCTCCAGGAAGGAGTCCCCCACAGGGCTGGGGCACAGCCAAAAGCATTCCAGCACTTTTCCAGGTGGCCCCTCGCAGGACAGCAGTCCCACAGTGGGACGGGGAGGTGGGTGAAGGGTGCTGGTGGCACCCCCAGCATGAGGGTCCCCCAGGCACCGGCGCACGGCACGGGCACGAGTCAGAGGTTTATTTATTTGGGGACAGGTTCACTTTTTAAAGCCTTTTGTAGCTCACTTTTTACTCCGAGCCTCTCCGAGGCCACACTCACGTGGATATTTGGGGCGGAAAGACACGTTTTTCGGGGTGGAAAGTTGCATTTCTGCTCCGTGATCACTGAAAATGCTGCGTTTTTAATTCACACTTTTGGCCCTGGCGGGTGCTGTGACCCCCTCACCCCCGTGTCTCCGGCATCCTGCCTGGGGGCAGCCCCCCAGGATCCTTCTGGGTTTTCCTTCACCTTTCCAGAGATTAAACCTGGTTTGTTCCACCCTAAACACGAGCCTTTTAAGTGCCTCTTTACCTTAGAAGTGCCTTTTCCTGGTGTCACGGGAGCCGTGCCAATGTCCCCGGGGACTGGCGTGGTTGGTGGCCCCTGCGGGCACCAGGGAGGGCCTGGAACAAAAGGAGCTCCTCCCTGGAAACGCTGAGATCCATCACTGGCAACCACGGCCTGCTAAGGTAAATATTTAATCGCCGGCTTGGCGCGGCGCGGGGCCCGTTCCCGGCTCTTCCGCATTGCTCCCAACGGTGATTTATCTCCGCAAACACGTCCCCACCCCTGGCACTGCCCCGGCACTGCCCCGGCACGTGGGGCCCCCGAGGCTCTCACCCCCTGCCCGCCCCACACTGTCCCCCGTGGAGGCAGCAGGGCCTTGGGAGCTGGATGATCCTTTCCCAGCCCAGGGATGAGCTGGGAGCACTGGAGCCACACGGGGTGGTCATTCCTGGTGGGTGCTGGGTGTCCTCCTGCCTCTGCTGGGGGAGAGGGGCTGTGCTGAGAGGGGCCAGCTGAGGCTCTGTGCTCCCGGAACTCCTCAAACCCAAGTCTGTCCCAGACTCTGCCGGGCTGGAGCAGGGCAGGAGCTGGTGGGAAAAAGCCCTTTTCATCCCGTGCTTGGCTGAGGGGCTGCAGAATCCACGGACAAGGAAGGTGGTGGAGCTGTTGCCCGGGGATGGTGGGGGCAGCACCCATGGTCCATCCCTGTGGCTGGATCTGTCCCTACAGCTGAATCCATCCCTAAGGGTAATCTATCCCTAAACCTGGATCCATCCCTATGGCTGTGTCTGTCCCTAAACCTCGATCCATCCCTATGGCTGGATCTATCCCTGCAGCTGGGTCCATTCCCAAGCTTAGGCCCATCCCCATGGTTGGATCCAATCCTATGTGTGGGTCTGCTCCTGAGCCTGGATCCATCCCTGAGCCTGGATCCATCCCCATGCCTGGATCCATCCCTGAGCCTGGATCCATCCCCATGCCTGGATCCATCCCCATGCCTGGATCCATCCCTGAGCCTGGATCCATCCCCATGCCTGGATCCATCCCTGAGCCTGGATCCATCCCCATGCCTGGATCCATCCCCATGCCTGGATCCATCCCTGAGCCTGGATCC